AAGTTTGATCATTTTTTGTGGCAAAATGGATGGCAATCTATTGCATTCCACTTCCGCCCATCGCCACCGTCCAAGTGATCAGGACCGAAGATCAACACCGTTCGCGGCGAACGCTTCGAACGGTTCCACTCCACATCGCGCCAACTGCTTTGCAGCCGCAGGTGGGTCTAAGGTGAGGCGCTCTGATGAACCAGAGCACATCGGAAGTTTGTCCCTCAAAAGGGATGGAATTAAGTTCCAGGGGGCAGCTTACTCCTATCCGCCAGCCCAGGTCTGCCCTGTGTCAAGTGTTATGTGCTCACCAGCTGGCCATCACAAAAATGCCCAGACCCAGCCACAACACAAGAATCACCATAGAGAGAGGGGGGGAAAAAAGACACGGGCCACCGTCAGACCACGCAGAAACACCCCTTGCGGGGAGAGGCAGCTTTTCAAGGGAGCTGTGAAGGAAAACACTCCCAGCGACGAGGCTGTCAAAGGGCCCTCCTTCGTACCAACACCTTGCTGTGTCCATAAGATGTGTGGTGGTTGGGTTTGGAGCCCTAGGGCTAGGGCCTGCGAGCACTAGTCTAGCCTGACGAATTGGTCATTTCGATTGCCCTCAAGATTCTGGACAGTTCTTGCTTGACAGCCTCGTGATCCAGCCTAAGATTCCAGATCGGCTAGGCTTCGTAGCCGACTAAAGTTCGGAATGTGTTCAGACCGAGGACATTACCTTGGAGTCAGACAACCCAACGTGCTCAGATTTGCAAGACGTGGAGGTCAAGAAAAGTACAAGGGTCTCCTTGAGGAAAAGCTTTCTGAGTTTCCTTCTCTGGGTCGGCCTGAGCAAATAGTAATGAAACAAGTCAAGCAATTCTCCAGTGCATGGCAGCAAAACAATACCCCGCGTATGACTTGTCAAGGACGTCATGATGCTCCTGTGCAGAGTTCATAACCCACCCAGATGACAAACCTCGCATCGTGCGACTAACAAACCCTCCTTGACAGTCGCCCTCATAGGTCTCAAATCCGAATACCAGCTACGGCGTCAAGGCCTATTCCATCACCAATAGTGGAAAACGATGGTTGGTCAGAGTGCTTTGCGGCCTACCTTTTCCAAATGGGACAACCATGTATGCCACTATGCCCCTGGTAATCCCTCGTGTTGCGCTTGAATTCCTTCAAACTTGAACCATTGCAGCGGTGAAGTACTATAATAAGTAAAACATGGTTCTCGACAGGTCAACGCTCGAAAAACAAAATAAGAAAACGAAACAGTGGTACACAGTGGTAGCACTAGTGGTAGCCTCTGGGTCCTTATGGTGCTGGCCATCTATACGCCTCAGCCACATCCTCTAACGACGAAGCTGGTGGAGCGCCCGCCCGCTATCCCGACGAAGCTTGTGGAGCTGCTGACGGCACTCTTCAACAAGGTCCTGAGGAGCAACGCCTGGGTGGCGAAGCCAACGAGATCGGACAGGCACTTCGATCGGACACTGCCAAGTGCAGAACGGTCGAAAAACGCGGATGTTCCACCTAGTTGGATTTGAGTGGAGGAAAAAATCCCCCCAAAAGGTTAAAGCTACAACTGGCTATCCATGACCCTGGGTAGGCCGCGAATCATCGCGGCCTATTCTCCACCACTACCCGTCGAACGCGGCGAGAAGCAGGCTTCATCTCATCAGACCGCTGAACCCTATAGGCTTCCAACAAATGATAGAATTGCCTTTACATGCCTGGATCCCAAACAACCATGTTTTACATAATGTCTTATATGTACTTTATAGTACAAAAATCTACACAACCAGGTCAATGTTCAAAATGGTCTTGGAAGGCCAGGGATGCTAGGGTGAAGCTTGTTCCAAACAAGCGGTTGAAGGATGTTGCAGCCACCCCCACTTCCAAGACCTCCGAAATCCTCCGAATCGAAGTTCACCTCCGTCCATTCAAACACTCCCAATGCTCCACCTGAGTTCCGACCCTTCGCCCGGCTTCGCGAGATCGGCGCCCCACGGTTCCGCGGTTGTTGGGTCATGCGGCCAAGAGGAACTCCGACTTCACAGGACCCACCTCCTCGGAGAAGTCCTCGGCACGACGAACGGAACCAAGGGCATCTCTACGAACGGAGCAAGGACGCTACTAGTAGCTCCTGGCCTTACTACTAGTAACAAGAAGCTACTAGGAACAAAGGGCATCGCTACCGTTTCTGGGTTCCGCCCATGGCGCGGTGGAGATTTGCGTAGGGCTGGCCAGTAGGCCGCTCTGAACGACTAGGACCGAACCGGAACGGTTCAGAAAGAGGAGCGAATTGAGGAGCGGGCCATCCAAGGATGGATGGAAGGATTCGAAAGGCAAAGTTGGGTTCCGACTTGCAGATTTGGGTGATGGTCCATCCCAAGAGCTTTAGCGACAGCTGCCTGAAGCTCAGAAACGCGCAGGAGTCCCTGCAGGGCTTGCCCCAATGGGGAGAACCCACCGCACTCCCACCGCCTGAATGGAGGAGAATTGGCCTACCTGCGAACACAGCACCAGGGACAGCCCTCCCTGGAATCCAGCTAGAGATGAAAATTGCTTGGCTTAGCCATGCTTAGCCCCAGCAAGCACTAAACCACCAGTTGCTGACCCAGTAAAGCAGAATCAGCTTCCCATGACCAACACCTCACGGACCGCAACCCAAGAGCCAGCGTGTTCCCGGCAACACCAACATCCGTCCGTCACGCATATGTGTTTAAAGCCTTTTTACTCAAAGACGCCCTAAGATGTGTTGAAACGATCGTCCGTTGAAAAAGAAACCTTGAGGAGCCAAAGCCGTGGCCCCAGTGATCTTGGAGAAACTTCCTTGCCGTTGCAGGAGGCAGTTCTTCTAAGATTTATCAAGTTCAACCCACTATGCATTCCACATGGTGAAACATATCACATCCTCGAACAGGGGCCCAAAACTGGTCAGGGCATTCTGCTTTTTTTTTAATGAAGTCAAGAAGGAGAGTGGTCAAGAGTTCGTGCTGTTACCGATCTGGGCCGATGTAGAAAGCAAGTGTCTGCTTTTCTTTTGGCTCAGGTACCCCCTAAGGCCCTCGGCCCTCAGGTCTAAGAGTCTACTGTATACCCCCTGGACGCAGGACTCCCCTCAGTTCCCGAGCACCTCGTAGATCAAGTCGGCCGCAGCGATGTTTGCCTCGCAAACATCGTGGCGAGGAAAAGATGGTTGGAAGGTCCATGACTCGGATGATCGGATAGAAGATGATAGATAAGGTTGCACATGGTTGCACCATGCATAGATGTTTGCTGCACTGATTATATAGACAGACATGCAACACACACAGGGTGCTCCGCTTCTCATTGGTGTGATGGTCCTGCTAGGCACCACTCAAATTTGCGGAGAGCGCCATCTACCCTACCCAAAAGTTTCAGGCCGCATCCAAGAATTGCTACTATGGACCATTGAGGGTTGAAAAGTTGTGCCATCTATTTTGCTTGAGGTAGATGATGTATGTGAAAGTTGTGATGTGGGAGAAGTACTGCACTGTGGTAAGGCATCAAACATGGAAGAGGTCCACCGGAGTTGATGTGAAGCATATAAGAAAACTACAGGAAAGACAAAAGAAGGAAAGACAGAGGTTCTCTGTCTTCTTCTTCTCTCTTCTTGCCAGAGTGTCCCTTGCTGCTTGTGGTCCCCCAACCTTTGGGCATCCTGTTCAATTCATTAAGTTTGCCGCCAACGTCAGTAAGGAAGCAAGCCAGCTATACCCGGCAGGAAATTGGTCGTGGCCACTGACTACATGAAGCACGGGACACGTGGCACAAGAACAAACGCGCTCCATGATGTTAAGATCATCCTTCTCAAGCGTTTTTTCCTCCGGCACCTCCACACCAAACTACATACAGTACCGATCCATGCCGCTCGTATCAGAAGTGCATTGTCTTGAACGTTCTCTGCTGGGTGTCCCGGCCCGAGCTCCAACAAAGCCCTGCACTCGCACAGCGATGTCCTCGCTATCTGGGCACAAACACGGAGGAGGCGTCAAAAAGCAATTGTGGGGATGGCAAGTGCGCTTTGACCCACGGACAGTGAGGCGCCTGATTCTCAAGCTTCCTGCGGGCTACCAGAAATTGATGGGTGTGCCAACAAAGACCTTCACCTGAGAATCCCTGACGTAAATTTACTACACCCTTCACCACTTCTAGGTCGGTTCGTTGTCTCGCCGTTTCACTTCGTAGTTTATTTAAAATAATAGCAATCTACAGAGTACAGTGATATATGGGAAAAAAAGAAAACAATCTCTGTCTCTCTCTCTCTCTCTCTCTCTTTTATCTCTCTATCAATCTATCTATCTATCGATCGATCACTGCCAGCTTCTACCTGACACGTTTTGGGCAGATCTCAGTTCACACCACGCACCAAGCTCCGAACAAAAAGAGAAAAAGCTCCTACGCCAAGCTCCCGTTCCCAGGTCTCCCGGTCTCCTGAATGCGCACCTCCCGTAGCTTCAGCTCCGGTGGCCGATTCCTTGGGGCCCGGTGTCGGTCCGGTGACCGGTCCGGTGACCGGTGCTGATCCGGTGAACACGCGGTGCCTCGTTCGCCGGAGTTCGACCGTTTCGAGTCTCGGACAGTCCTACCAAGCTTGGAGAGATTTGAGCATCAAAGACATTGGGCCCATCCTCATCCCGAACCCCTCATCTCACTCCAGGCTTTGGTGAGCCATTTTGTGCTTGAAGTTCACTCTGCCTCTCTTCTATCATTGCTCCTGACCAGTCGAACAAGAGTTCGCCCAGGTGAAGTGGGGGCGGGCACTCCATCGTCTACCCGGCCCAAAATAGGGCCGGGCCGGACTGGCCAGGGGCACTCGAACTGGTGAGAAAAGTCATGACCCGATCCTCGGGACCCAAGCCAAGTGCATGGTGAAAAGATATGACTCAAAAGATCTACAGTACATATATGTACGACCCAAGATGACTCCAGGGTCCGACTCCAGGGTGCCACCAATACACGAATGCTTGGTTGTGTGATTGCTTGTGGGCCAATTTGACTTCAATGGCACCCTGCTATTGTTGAGTCATAGTGTTTGCAGCTCCAACTTATTTGCCTTCTTTTAAAGTCTTACTTTAAAGTCTTAAACACTTTCCGGGTGGGATCTTCTGGCAACTTGGCAACCGGTCTGCTGTTGTGAAGAACTTGAAACCCTCTCCACAACGGAGCTAACACGCTCGGGCAAAGACCTGGTTGCACATGGGGCAGCGGGCATTGCTTTGTGAGATGAACCACTCTTTGATGCAGCTGTGATGGAAGTGATGGCTGCAGGGCAAAGCAACGACTTCCTCAGCTGCCCAGATCGCCCAAAGAAGTCCAAGTGAAGAGAAATGCCCCCGGCTATCCATCCCAGAGAGAGGGACAATTCCCTAGGGCTCCAACCACCTCCTGAGAAGATGGTTGGGGTGGGTTTTGGGGGTTTAACCACCTTCTGAGGACATGGTTGGAGCCCTAGGCTTTTTGGGAGCACGAGAGGGGGCCAGGATGGGGCACGGCACAAAGGGGGTCAATGGCGTTGCCTGTAATTCATTGGGTTTGACCAGAAACCCCCACGTCAAGAAAACAAACCTGCCGAGAGCCCAAACAGCACCATCCCCAAAAGCTTCCTCCCTCGGTTTCCTCTCAACACCTCTTTCTTGGTGGTCATGAGAACAGGTTCAAACTCTCGCGGTTTCACGAAAACATCGCCCAAAGCCACCTGAACTCAACTCTTCCGAAGCTTCCAAACTCAAGTCGTCCTGACAAATGGCACAGGTCTCCACGACCTCTGCGCGGAGACTCCGCGCGCGTTCCACGCAACCCGCGGAATGGAGCAGCTCCTCCACGGTTTGGGACCACCGGTGCATGGCCTTGGAAACACCGTGAGCTCGGTTGGTCTTCACTGGGAGGCAGAAGAACATGGAAGAACCATAGGCCCAAAACATCCCAAAACGCATCCAAACTGATCAAAACGCTTCCAAGACCAATTCCAACCGTTCAGTTGACCTATATAGATGCTGTAATGGCAAAATCCTTGGTAAGGAAGCGTGGTTCGGGCTTCAGGCCGCTAAGTCCTAGGGGACTGAGGTTTCTACAAAGCTGCGTCTGACGAACTCTGACAGGCCAGTCGGCCACCACCTGCTTACGGCAAAGGGTGCTCTGCAGGCCCCAACAGGGCGAAAACGAAAAAGACATGTGTCCAAGGATGATCCAGGGTACCAAAGCTGACGCGTGCACCTGCGCTTGCTGAGAAGTTTGCTCTCGATGAATCAGGAGATCAACCACCTGATGCGCGTGGAACGCGCTCGGTGCGTCAACACGTTCCAGAATAAGAAACTTTACGGATGTGTCTCGAGGACATGTGCCAGAGTACATTGACTTGTGATTTCGGTCACCAACATCAAGGGAATGGTCCTGACCTACTTGTCCTACTACTTCCTGATTTCAGCAGATCCACCTTGTCCTGACAGAAGCGTTCGAGCAAAACTCGCCCGCTGAAGTCGCCCCATTGGCCTCCACGACCACGTGTCCCACCAAGATGGGACACTGGGGATGCTTCTGGTTCCACCTCTGTACCGCATGAGAGCCCCGGAAGTCGAGAATGACGAGAACTGTCATCTCTGCATCTGCCGAAAGCATCACCCCGTAAGACCCGTCGGTCTCGCGCTGAAGGCATGCTCGATACATGGCGCCGAGGCCTGCGCCATGAGCTTCGGAAGCCATGGCCCTGTGGCTGTTCTTTCAGGACGATGGCAGTCGATGAGGCATCCAGCCTCTCAACATAATGGAGCCAAAATGCATCTGGCAAAGAAACACTTATCACAACCATCCTCGGGCATAACCTGCCAAGATTCTGTCTACTCTTGGCCACATCGCATAATCGCATAGGCTCAACAAGGCACAGGCATCAACTGTGGGCAATGATGGGCTTGATTACATTTAGCATTGGAAGCACGCCCCCTCTGCAAGGGACACCATTTGTTACATTCTTAGAAGAATGGAGAATATGCCATGTATGGACGCCATTTCACTGACTGATTCCATGGCAACTTTGCAGCGTAATTCTGGTGTGACCCACACCGCACCACATCGTTTCCTTGACCCAGAACGGACCATGACGAAAAGTCCTGGCGCTTCCACGGACTCCCCACGGAAGAGGTGGACTTCCCTCGAAGCGAAGAATGCTTCGCAGGACGAGTCAAGACTAGTCCCCGAAAAAGGCATCTTCAACAGCTATGAAGCTTCCACCTACGCGCTTGCATGCAGTTCCCTCCCAGTGCATGGGTTGATTGGTTCTCTCTCTCTCTCTCTCTCCTCTCTCTCTCGGTCCCTGGGCAGCACTGACAGTGGAGCTGAAAGCAGCTGCTCTGGGTGTGCCAGGGCCAGGCACTTCTGGCCCAATCCATGACTTGTTAGTGGATCCAAGTCGCTCAGGAGGTCTTAGATTCTCTTTGATCTCTCCGATCTTGCTGAGCACCTCATGGACATTCCTCGGCCGCGAAGCTCAGTCCCAGAGCTCTGAGAGCTGTCAGGCTCCCGTGGAATCTGGACTTTGGATGACAGGATCAGACACACCGCGCGCACTCGAGGGAATTAAAACAAGGTGCAGTGAATCAGAGCGTTGTATCTCTCCCCTCCGGCCACGACGACATGGAGGGGGAATATGTACTAACAGTGGAGTGTAACAGGAGATTTCTTCACTGGGACCTGGCACTCGGAATAAACCGCCTGGAAAGCACCTCGACCGTTTCGAGGTCCTGCACGGGGGCGGGATGGCTATTGAATGATATTGATGGTATACGATGAACACACTGGAAGACTAGGGAAGAGTTGGGAATGGGTGCAATGATGGACTATCAGTGGCTCCCCTGATGAACTTCTTCCAGGCATTTTCCATGGCAGTTCGCTGTGGGACCCCGTCACCGTCAACGGGCCCCTGGGAAGCCCAGTGCTTTCTCAACCGGACTTCTTGGCAGGAAGTACACCTCCGAGCATTGATGAATTCGAAGCCCCTGAGATCCTGGAAATAAAACCAGGCCCCAACCCTTCCTTAAGGCCCCATGATGGCCCCTCACGCAACCAAAAGAGTCCAACTGCTGCAGCACCGAGGCCTTTTCCCCGAAATCCAACTCTCACACCCCGAAATGGGCCACCTCTCTTTGACCCGTCAAAAAAGGGCGATCCGTGGCTCGAGGAATCCAAGGTCTTCTCGTAGATGAGCTCGACACCCAGAATCTGAAGCTCCTGGATCATCAACTGTCGGCACCTCGAGGCCAGGAAGTCCCGCAAGCGCAAGTGGCAGCGGATTCCTAGGGGCTCCCCGTCATTCGAGATGCGTTGGAAGTGGAAGAAGATCAGGCCAAAAGGGGATGCGTTGGAAGTGGAAGAAGATCAGGCCAAAAGGGGATGAGAAACCAGACCCGAAATGATGAGAAACCAGCATCCGGTGGTCCAAGGTCTTCGCAGGTTAACCAGCCCATTAGGTAAGTAAACACCCGAAACACATGGGGTGGTAGTGATGATGACGACGGCTAGTGGGAAGTGTCTGAACAAAATCAAGACAAACTGAGACCCCCCACAGTGACTGGGATTACAGAACATCGGGAAAAAAAAAGACATACAACTACAAAAAGTAAATGTTTAATGCACACCCCCATCTTTTCCCACCAGAACCTTCTCTGACCCCAGTGGCTGGTCAACATCTATCCCCCCATTGGCTGATTCGACCTGTGCAAGTCAAAAGGGGCTTCACATTCGACGGACCAGTTGTTTCCACCGACCAGCTGAAATCATCTGAAAGCCCTGGCAGCATGGCGGAGTGTCCCGCTCCTAGCAGGACACTCCGCATGGTTTGGCGCTCCTCTTTTATCGGGCCACATTGGTGCGTCGTAGGCACTGGTTCTCATCACCCCCCACGTGATATTCATGACATGTACTCCAAATGGTTCTAAGCGTTCTCATTGCTGGCGACTCCAAAAGTCACACAACCATCTATGTGAATGGATCCTATTGTGACTGCTTCTTTGGGCACCTGCATTCAAACATACTGTGTATATATATATATATGTGTGTGTGTATTAATTAAGTAAATATAATATATATATATATATAATGCAATTTTAACATAAGCAAATACCCCCAATAACTTGCCAAGTTGCGTGAACACCTCCCATCTTCCTCCAAATCTCGCACCCCTCGCCCCATCCATCGCTCATCATCGCTCTCTCGCTTATTAATTCCATCGCTTCCCTCGCTGCCATGCGGCGCTTGGCGGTCAAGAGCTTTTCAGATCGCCAGGCACGGCCAGGAGGATTCTTCAGCTCCAGGCCGTCAATGCAAATGAGGCCCTCACTGAGATCCACCTGCAGAAACCAGGATGCCCGAACGGACCGGGGGCGGCGGAGGGCGGGGACGGTGGTTTTTGCGTAAAAAATTGGACCGGGGGAGGTGGTCATGGCTGATCCAGCTGAAGAAGACTCAGGGGGAGGCACCGGGTGCAAGCCACCCAACTTGCTCATTCCTTCCTTTCCGCACTGAGATCTGCCCGAAAAGACGGGCCCAGCCATGGTTATGGTTGGAAATCTGGACGATCACAGTCTGACCAATTTCTTAGGTGCGCTGAGGGCTTTCCAAGGTGCTGCAGTCCGAGCAGAGTGGGCACCCCGTAGGGTTTGTGGGCACCAATCGTTTTTCGTGGGCCGAGCTTCAGTGCAAGTTGGATGTTGCCATATGCGCCAAATGTCCAACGAAAAACACGTCGGCGTTGACGATGGTTGACACGCATGTGACGATGGTTTAAGCTGATGAAGTTTTCATGTGGATGAAAGAATCACTCCGAAGAACGCCTTGTTGAAGAAACGGTGCAAGCAATTGGGCGGCGGATTTTGTTCCAGTTTCCTTGCTGATTCGTTGCGGTCTGAAACCACATAGGCTGGCTATGATGGACCAAGGTCTCGGTTCGGCTGGTTGCACGTGCGAGCAATTGCCAAATATCCAACCCACCCTAACCACCAACTACACCTACATAACATCTGATGAAAGTGGAACGGAATCAAACGAGGAGGCTCTGGTTTGTTCCGGCCATCTGAGGACGCACATCTCAAACACAGGAAGCCCCTGTACAGAAAAGGGTTCCAGTAGTCCTTCCTCTTTTGTCACTCTCACTGGGCCATCTGCTCTCAGCGCAGCCATTGCAATCAAACCCAAACAGTTCCCAAAGCTCGTCAAACCAGCTCAGGTCCACTCAGGTTCCAACTCCGGTTCCACCAGTCCCAGTCCCCTCAATCTCCACCAAGAGACATAGGTGGACTCAACTTTAAGCTCCATGTGCAGCACCTCAGTCCCAGTCCCCGCGCACCGCACCAGTTCCAGTCCGCGCCACCGTCCGTTCTGGTGCCGATCTCGGATCGTCCGTTCGTTTGGGGATGAGGAGCACCTGGTGATGGTGTGTTCCAACAAAGGAGATCCTGTAGAGTCCAACTGGCCCACAAAATGATACTGGAAGTCAACCAGGCGTGGCCAGAGAGGCCGTTTGTCGTTCTTCGATGTTTGCGGACTTGGCCACGTTTTTGGACACGTTTGGAGGTCCGGCGGTCCTGGATGTCCGGCGGGATTCCTGGATCATGTTTGGTCTCCTCTCTAACCTCCACCGTGACAGTAATAAATGCTTCAGGACAACTCTAACCAAAGCCGCTTCCATCAGAGCCTCTCATGAGCGAGGGCCAGTGGGTGCCACATGGGGGTCACTGCCCAACATGGCCCAGCTCTCAGTTGATGTTGGAAATCTGGAGCTTCTGAATGCCGAGGAGCAAGCTAAGCAAACCAAAAAAACATGGACCGTAAAGAACCTCATGAGTTGGGGGCGGCCAACCTGCACACCTACCCCTTCGTCATCTTCGTCCTTCGGCGGTCGAGGGACGAAGTCGCTCAGAGCCCTTAAGCCATTGGCCACGCGCGAGCTCATGATGGCCTGGTGAGCGGTCAACCGTCGGTGAGCACACCCGGAGGGTCTGGGAGCGAAAGAACAGACTGGTGACTAGGACTTCTTTGAGAGGGGTGCCAACTGAGTCGATTTGGAGGAGTGCTTGCTTTGGACCAGCCCACTACACTGACTACAATATTCAGCCCACTACACCTCACAAAGTGACAACGACACAACTTGAGGCCAGAGGGGGTGAACGAAAGCTAGCCGGGCTTCCGGTGGTCTGCTGCTGGTGCTGCTGCTGCTGGTGCTGCTGCTGCCGCTGCTGCGCTGGGCGCTGCTGCGCTGGGTGCTCTGCAGGCGCCGGGTCGTCTGCTGCTGCTGCTGCTGCTGGCGCTGGGTGGTCTGCTGCGGCTGCTGCTGCCGCGGCGTTGGGTATGCTGCTGCTGCTGCTGCCGCCGCTGGGTGGTCTGCTGCTGCTGCTGGTGCTGCTGCTGCTGCTGCCGCTGCTGCGCTGGGCGCTGCAGATGCTTGGTGTGCTGCAGCTGCTTGGTGGTCCCGCTCACCGCGCGCAGGGGGGAGTCGAACCGCGGGGGGGGGGGGGGGGGGGGGGGGGGTCCATAAGATTGATTTAATCAATTATTTGAGGTTTCTGAGGTGCGTCCACCCCGTCACTTAACTTGCTAAAGCAAGAGCAACTCCAGCTAGCTAAGGCTAGCTTTCGTGATCACCAACACGCTTGTGAACATTCCATTCGGTCATTCGGTGCGGTCCCACAATGAAAGAGTCACGGCAGCCATGCAGGCACCTGGAAGAACCTGAACCTTGCCGTCATCACAACCCACACGCACACACACATGGTATGTGAGACCTTTACTTCCCATTCACGAAAACCCCCAACTGCTTCATGTTCAACAACCCCCTCGACCAACCACCAAAGTGGATTGGGCCAGCCAATCCCAAGTCCTGACTAAGGAACCTCCCAATCAGTGGATCGATCCGACGTTCGCCCCGGTAGGAGGTCCGAACCCACACAGGGTAGGGTACCCCAGGTTTTGGAGGTAGAAAACCACCAGTAAAAGACACATGTGACCACGGCAAGTCTCACCGGATTGAGACACGGAGAATACCAACAGTGAATCCCTTCGCACCGCACGAAATCCATGGACTCACTCGTCTCACTCGCTCCAACTGGTCCGAAGCGGTGTGTTTCTTCGTCCGTCCATCGGGCCCGCCCAACCTTTGCCACCAGCACGGTGGTGGGTACCAACACCAAGATCACCTGCACAAAGAGGACATGGGCAAACGACCAAAGAGGCCGAGTTCAGCCGAGTTGGGCCTGGCCATGGCCATGATGCGTTTCTGGTTTGCAGTCTGGGGCGCTTGGCATCACATGTTAAACAGACCCCAATTCACACACAATTAATGTTTCTATATATCTGATTCGAACAAATGATTGCATCATTTGGCAAATGGAAGAAAAACAGCTTCAAGCATCTGACTGTCAAAGTGGAATTCATTGTGGCAACGCTGTGGGCCTGGCTTTCTCAAACAACCAACTACATCACAGGTACGAGTGCCTATTCTCAGACCAATTATCATGACACGTGGCACCCTCAATGAAGCCAGAAATAGAAGGAGCTAAATGCCGCATCAAATGGCGGTGTATCACGCAGCGCTGTCATGCCTTCGGTTTGTGGAATCAAGATGGGTTCATCAACGAAGCCATAGTGCCATAGAATTGACACCTCTTTGTCAAAGGGTGAAGGTGCTGTGACTTCGGTGGGGGTCGTGAAAAAGCCTTTTCCATCCTGTCAGTCATCTTTCAGCTGGGGCACTCCATACCAGAAGACCACATGATACAGTGTCGGACGCACTTGTGGATTGTCGCTCCGGATGAGTGCCTTAAAGACCGCCGGGGCGAGACCGGCCGGTCTCGTAGAACAACTGACCTATTGCCAAAGATACCCTGGCCATCCCTGGCGCTGGACTACTCTCCATTGGAGACTTCTTGGAAGGTCCAGGTAGGTTGGTGATGGTTGGTGATGGTTGGTGCTTTTCGTGCCCCGTATTGCCCCAACGTCACGTGGCCGCAGAACAGAATACAACACGGTGGGGCTCACCAGCAGTCCCAATGTACTTCGACCTCTTGACAGCTTGGACGGATGAGCCCATATGTTCACTTGCACAGGCAGTATCCACCAGCTGGTAGGAGCCTCACAAGAGGTTGCCCTTCCCATGCTTCCCCTCACGTATCTCGACCAAGCCAACCACCACGAGTTCTGTCAATTAGGTATGATTTGATAAGGTTTTGAGTTTAAAACGATCATTGCCACCAGAACACGCAGAATCATGAGGTGGTGGATTCATGTTTCGCATGAGTTTGTCTCCATAAAGCGCAAGGGCAAGGCCAGTGCGCTGGGTTCAAACATGGCAAGTTGATGAAAGCTATTACCCTCTCCACATCAAAGCACCATATAAAAGAAACTTCGCTCCACTTTCAAGTCCCTATGTCCCTGCAGTCCCTGCACACCTCAGCCACCCCGGCTCACATCTTACAGTCAAGGCAGCCCAAAGCAGCATAGACCACAAAAGCGCTGCAAATAAGAAGCACAGTGGGAGCCGCCAGCGACAGTCCTCGTCTTCCTTACAGCTTGCGCGGGCACGCAGGCACACGGGGTTCTGCACCTCTGAGAGGGGGAAATACAGGCTTCCGGCACACCGGACAAAGAAGCCGTCAATGCATTTCTGCATGGAAAACCGTGAGAGTGCTCAAGAAAGGACCTAATGGACTGAGAGCAAGATGATGGTTCCGAGACCCTGGAAGAAACACCAATGTGCAAGCAACCGCAGCACGACACTCACGCGTCCAAACGATCCCAATGGTTTGGCGATAAACACCCCCAATGAATGAATCCTCTCTCTCCCAGCTGTCTGGGCGTCCTCCTCAAGATCTGCATCGATCTGGGCCTAGACCGAGACAAGAAAGGTGAACCGGGTGAGTCTGCGGAAACTCTCGTTGAGAAATTGGTTGACCCTAGCCATGAGTCAGACTAGGAACTGATGGGATCAGAAGATTGTGATCTGCAATGTCATTTGTCCTTTGCCCACAGTTCCCAGCCACATCATGGGCTCTAGCAAACTGGACCATGTCAATGGCCTCCGCACTTCTTCACACAAGGACGTGCAGTTTGGGTTGCCCGATGGCAAAAACAAATCAAACACATGCAACTACAGCAGTAGCGCACTTGCACACATCGGTCCATGCCAAATATGAGAGTGCACTGACCATACCGACCCATGCCAATCCTCCGTCCGTCTGAATCTCCCCGTCGCTCCCACCGCGCGGTCCGGTGCTGACCGCCTCGGCCTCGGATCCTCCCCAGACGGCGGCCATCCGAGCGCCCCCGGCTGAGGGGATGCGATCGGGCGCAGGCGACCTGGGGGAGGGATGGGACCTGAGGGAAGGTGGGCACGCACACCAATTCGATCAAGAGTGGTGCGAGACTGCTTCAAAATCTGAAGACCAATGCCACGTGTGCCCTTTCAGGTGCCCAAGCGAGAGAAAAAGCAGGGAATCTTTCAAGACATCGTGCATGTCCATGGCTGGTGGCCGATCCGGTTCGAGCAGGGGGCAAATCCGAGCGTCCCTGGTATCGATCAATGACGACATGCTTGATACCCCTTACCATCTCCTCTCCCAAAAAGGACCCTGACCAAAGCAGAACCTGTCTGATCTTTCTCATTGGCCACTGTCGTTCCAACATCTCATAAGGGATCGCAAGGGACCAGGGATGGCATGGCCCTGCATGCCTGCCATAATTCAAAGACTCCCCGTGGCATGGGCTCGTTTCTCGCTGTCTTCCACCGGACATCCCCCGCTCTGGAGCTCGCTTAGGCCTGGGTGAGGAGGCCTCCTCTGAGGTCTGCTCCAGCGTTAACGTGCCAGACCTGGGCTGGTGACCCTCAACAACTACGCCTCATCACTTGGAAGGCGTGGATGGTAGCGCCAAGTGCAAATCCCCGCCTAAGGACCCTGCGGCAGATCGCAGCAGTAACTCAAAAAGAAGCTAACATATATTGTACAGTTGATGATTCTGTGACACGCGTCAAGACTGCCAGAGATGAGACTCTGCCTCCCCTCTCTCTCTCTCTCTCTCTCGCTATGTCTTGAATCCTGCCCGGAACAAACGAAGGCTGTCCCAACTGGAAGATAAACTGTCACAAACGGCACTGCCTTTGGCAAGCCACTGGTTTTGTCTGAACATCTTGAGATATCTTGAGCTGAAATGTTGATCAAACAATATCCTACTTACCCAGGCCGACCCAGACTAGGTAGTTGCCTTCTTTTCAGGATGGAACAGTTTTGTAGAGGTCTGGCACATCAACCCAAATGGAGTATGGTGGTGGGGCATGGCGTGGCCAGGGTTCAGAACAAATGCTTCAAACGAGTGCAGGTTTGGGAGTAATGTGAAAGGACTTGTCAATCAGTGGTCTCAATAAAGGTGGCCTCCGGAAGAAGGGCGACTAATTAACTTGAACCCCCACCTTCAAGTTAAGTTGTCTCTACACGCCACCCTCCCACGCGAAGGCATGCAACACAACGGATAAAAGGCTCTCAAAATCAACAGGTCTTTCTTCATGATGCATGCCCCGAACCAACACGTTGCTCTTCAACTCCACCTTCCCTCAGTGAGTCCTTCAAAGCAAACTGGCAATTCCATGACCAGAAACATCAACAAATACAAAGAAAGGCTCACTGACCCTGCATAGCTTCACACATCCTCCAACATGTCTCTCTCTCTCTCTCTCTATCTCTCTCTTCCATGTTTCGACTGCGATCGCGCGTGTCATTGGTGGCATGCAGCTCAATTTCCGCCACACGGGGTGCTGGGCAGTTTCTCCCCAACACCCTCGATGTGGCAGCTTCAAACACGGCAGCTTCAAACACGGCCTCTAATGGCACTGCCAGCAATCCGACTCCAGTGGTCCCTCCAAAGTAAATAGGTCACAGGGAGCCCACAAGTGAAGCGATGAAAAGGGAGAGGCACCGGTAGTATCCGATAGCAATGTACATCAAGAAAATGCATGGTGGAACATCATGTTTGAGCAACAACTTTTGGACCTGCACACTCCTTCTCAAAACGCTGCCGCTTTGGAGAGCGCCGCTTGGAGGACTGCATAAGTGCGGCCAAATCGAGCCTAGCTGGGCCCAGCTTGAACTTCTCAGCGGCCCCAGCTTGTGGCACCAGCCGGGAAAGATGGGAAAGTGCTATAGCTTTGAGGGCATGCCATGCCGTGGCTCACTTGGCCCATATGACTTCCATAGGCTTGGAACCCTCCTTGCGCCACATGTCCCTGGAATGGCTGAAATTGCACCGGTTGCATGCCCGGCCGGCTCGGATGCAGCGGCATTTGAGGTGGCTCACCTCCATGACCCCCGAAACCATGGACCGGCATCCTTGCCCGCGGCCGGGCGGGGCTCGGCGGCCGCGCGAGGGCATCTGGATGTGGTTCCCTGGGCTGCTGCGTGGGGCCCTGCGCAGGCACGTTGGGGTGATACGTCGGCTTCAACATGTCGTACTCGTCATCGTCAGACTCGGAGGCTGCCACACAGCAGCTGTTGAGGTTTAGGATGCTGCTGGCCAAGCTAGGCTTAAAGCCAAAGGAGTTCCAGGTCTTCTCGGGCGCCTCTGAGAGTCCCAGAGTTAGGCCAAGTAACACCTCCAGACATTACAGTTACAGTAGATATTATGTAGAGCCTCCAACATCTGAAACAATCATGAAAACCCAACATGTTCTCCATGTTCCAGCAAGATTGCCCGGGACAGGCACTTTGTATCACTTACAGTGTCAATGGAAACGTCCAGGGATGATCCATCAGGACACCTATCCAAGTGGGAGGCTTTCGACTCAACTGGTTCGATGCCTCTGGAGCCCAAAGCTTCTGCAGCTCCTCCGTCCATTCAACCACTTCGGCCACCACACAACTCGTGTCATCCTGGCGGGAAACCATGCCACACGCGATGCGCGATGCTGTAATTATCAAGGAGCCTGGCGGAGAACAAATCTTCTACAAACCCCCCAACAGCTCACGATCGCTCAACCCGATCGAGCCGGGGCGTCATTCGCTCCTTCTTGCCGCCACGGCCAATGGGCGCCTCGGGCAACGCGCCGTTGGGCAGCGGCCGTGTCTTGGCGTGGCACTGCTCGACGATGCGCTGCGCCAACATGCGCAGCTGCACCTGTGAGGGGCTCACGCCCAAAAGGCCATTGGCCAGGTCCTGGCGCTGGCGCTGGCCCGTTGAAAAAGAGGTGCCCAAAACCGAGCTCGTCCCAAATCAACCAGTCCTTCGGAAAACAAAAAAAAACACAGACACACAAGTCCTACACGAGCTTTACCCCAAACATCCCCAAAACCTTACCCATAGGCAGGCTTTAACATCGCACCCGACACCAAGGCAGCATCAGAAACCAACAAAGCCCAGATCACCAAAACATACCAAAACCGTAAGATAACACCGGTTGCGCATGTTTTAGCAAGACCTGACCCACTTTCAAGACCCCTATGACTTGTTTATGTTTATCGTTTGGAGCTCTCTGAGGCCTCTGCTATATTCTGCTATGCTACGGTGAGGTCCAGTAGTGCGGTTTTGCTGCATTCCTCCTCTCAAGTAGGTACTTGTCCATGAAACACATCCTATCAGCTATGGTGATATGCTCTACGTGCCACAATTGCACTTGAGGGAAGGCCGCCCAAGCTGACGTTAACATCCTAACAAATGAGCACTTGATCTAAATGAGCACTTGATTACATCTACCAAAGATGTTTGTCGCTGTCTGCGGTGAAGTTTGTTGAACTGTTAGTCACTTAGTACGGTTGAGGTCCTTCTCAATACGTCAATGCATGTTTCAAGGCCAGCCGATTCTCTCTCCAGACGGGTGTGGGACTGGTGGGGATGGGTGGGACAGAACCCATCACCCTCGAAGGAGATCCCAATTCTCGGACCCGGACATTCCGAAGATTTCGAAGCCAAGCCACCAAGATTTCATCTAAAAAGAGATTGTCGAAAACACCGTCACCTCAGCAAAGGTGAACCCTGTTTGTTGCCGAGTTCTTCAGGTCTGTTTTTGTCTGGCTCACTGGAAGTTGCCGGTGCCGATTGGGGATCACAGCCTGGGTGTTCATTTTAACAGGGAGACGCCCAACCAATGGGGTTGGGTCTATTTTCCTTCAAGGTCTTTGGGAGGTCTCCCATGGTTGCCCATATGCAGGATGCTTGAGGGATGAAGTTGAGGGTCTCTCTGACCAATCTCTGGAGAGTTCCTCAATCACACCTTGGGGCACTTCTTGGATCAAAACGGGGCACTTCTTGGACTCAGAGGAGCTAGTGGAGAAAGCGTTTCAGCATGCCTCTTGGACGGAATTGAGGCACCAACATCTGTGGGGATTTGTTGCGCTTTCTGCGGGGCCAGCACAATGAACTGCGAGGCAAGTGACTGCCCATAATAACGATGTCACCTTCATAAGCAGACACGCAATGGACAGCACTACCCTTTTCGATGACCTCGATGGTCAACTCTTCATGGAAGTTTGGATCAATTCCTTACTGCTCCAGCGGATCTGGGAAATACAGAGTTGCAAAACATCTCTGGAAATGTGTCTGTTCTCGCGGCTCGCGGTTGTCGAATCAAAACCTAGACATGCCACTCTTGAGCTGATGTGACTCGGATGAGAAGAGGTTTCTCCTACCAACCCTACCCTGGTAACATAGGGAGGCCCTCCAAAACCCTCAGCAAAACCATTAAAAGTACAAATGACACCTTAGGGTGTGCTCAAGCAGTGCCAATTTGGGAACAACACTCTGGGGCAGTGTTTGTGTTTTCAGATTCACCCACATGTACCAAGCAGTTTCGGACTCCATAGGGTTCCAAAAACCAGATTGCTCAAGATCTGTCTCAGCCTCGATCATCGACCCTGGCCAGCTGCAAGGGAGTTTGCGCATGTCCATCGATCCTCTGCATCTCCGTGTGGCAGACCAGCTCCAGCCGCGAGCGAGGCCCTGCAAGCCTTCGCAGCACTAACAACTCGCAGTCACCCACTGTGATGATGGCGATCATCGGATGAAGCTTTCCATGGATCCGCGTGGAGTTGTCCTCAGGAAAGCAGGAGAATAGGCGACCAAAGGATCCAAAGACATGAGGTAACATGAGGTGACTGTTGCAAGTTTCATGTTTCGCGAGCTTCTTCTTGGACCCTATTTTCATAAATTTCCTGACGTGGCCGCAGCCCTTTCGGGGCACCACCACATTGGTCTGAGTGGGGAAGAGGGCCAGCCGACCTGGTTAGCTGGAACCTTTTCCCAGGCTTCTACACAGTCACCCACACCCGAACCCCACCCAGCACCAGCACCAGCACCTCCAGCCCACCCTCTGCCAGTGATCCATGATGGCCAGCACCACCGTCAGAGAGCCCAGGGATTCCGTAGCCTCAAAGGCTCTCCGCAGCATGGACACGGGGCCGCGGTAGGTGTCGCCCGCTGAGAGGCTCACATTGGGGAGGAGTTGGTGCATGCCCAACTGCTCCACCTGTCGAGGACGGAGAAGAGATAGAGGCTGGGGACGGTTGCGTCGCATGTGGGAGCGGGGGGGTGAGTGGAGGCAAAACGTGCCTCCCTCCAATAGATAAACCATGATAAACATGCAACGCCTTCTTCGCCCCACAAGAGAACTAACATGGAACCGATCTGCAAGGACTGAGTGGAGAGTTACTGTACTTATATGACTTCAACCGCTTCAAGGGTACTGCCCTTGCAGAAGAATCAAAGGACAACAACCCACCGAGTGACAGGGATCCAACTTTGGCTTAGGGTAAACGTGAACATCAGGTGGAACCAGTGCCCCTCCCAATAACTCTTCCACCCAAAAAACAGGTGTGGGCCGAAGGCAGGAGTGAGTGGGGTGTGCTACTCGTAAAGCAAGAAATCCCGCACCGCTGCGACACCTGAAAGCAAGAAAAGATCCTTACATCCATTGCGTATTCCAGGTGATGTTGCAGAGTTCTTCCAACAGATCCGGGCAACTATCTATCTAAACAGCCAGGCTAGTCTGGGGTCCAGATTCTGTTGGCTAGAGGGGCAAGGAGATCTCCGAACGAATGAGACCTAAGCTCACTCAAATGGAACCAAAGAGCGTAGTCCTGTTTCACCTCACTTCCCCAGTTCTTTAGTCCATCCCCTCAACGCCGAACCCGCGAGCGCTCCGCGGACGCGCGCGGTGCGGGCACCACGTTCAGCAGCTCGTTGGGCAGCACCGAGGCATCGATGCCAAAGTCCTCAATCCTGAGACGGTCCGAGTCCCATACGTGAAGGCCTCCAGAACGACGGAGTTGACCAGGAGCTTAGGTTGGAGCCCCGTCGCTACTGGGTGGAGCCCCACCGCTAGTAGAATCAAAGAAACAAAACAGCGAGCGAATTTTCACATGTGCTGCGTGCGGGGACACAGCCATCAAAGCTCCATTCACCCCGCCGGGACTTGCTGAGAAGAGCTGTTGATGCCTTTTCGGCAACCCATGGTGGAAAACTTGAAAGGAACTGGCTGATGTCCTTCTTCACCAAACAGTGGCGCTGCCGCTGGAAGACCGCACCAGCAGGGGGAGAACAAAACGAGGTGGTAAATGCCTTTGGGCTTTTGCAGGTGGTGCATCAACAACAGCTTCCCAGCTGCGTTGCAGTAAAAGTTCAACAAGTTGTGCCGCACCACTGCACCACCCAAAGGGGTGGTTTATCCAGTATAAACGAAGATATGGCTGCTGCAGTGTGTAGATGTGTGTAGAAGATATCGCCGAAAAAAAGGAATGCAAACTGCTGCCAAGGATGTGAGAAAAAGAGAACGACCAAGTGGATTTCCATCGTCCGCCTGATTCCCACATGTCACACCCGATGGGCGTTCAGGTACGATCCCAAAAGGATCGGCGTCGGCGAAGGGTTCCTGCACGTCTCTGCGTCTGGAAGAAGGCAAATCCCTAACCTGCAATGTGCAACAACCACGGTTTTACGATCTTACACTGCACAACCTTTCGAACAAATTCCCAAATGGCTAGGTTTTGAGGGAGCAACGCTCTTTGGAGTGGAGCTCTGACAGCAACAATACCGAGGCTCTGTGAGACGCCATCCGCCACGCCCAGAATCAAAGGCACTGTTAGACATGCATCTGCATCCTGCCGTGGTGGCTGTGATGTTGACCACTGACCGCGAGTCGACTTCGAATCCTCGACTTCGAATATGCTCTTGAAACTGCCCTTGAACTCCGGATTGAGGTTTCATGTTTTGTGGTGATCGTCAAGCTTCGATGGGTCACCAGCCCCTGCAACAGGGTTTTGGCAGAGATGGTACCTGATGGTACTTTTGTTGGTTTTTCATCACTTGCAGTATTGGCATGGCAGAAAAGAATCTGCATGTAAGCATTAAGCATGATAAGCAATCCATAAAGTGAAGATGGTTGGCAAGAGGAAGGCCTTCCATGGCTCCATGCTACAGTGTCACTACAGGTAGCACTCACTGAAGCCAACTCTAACCAGGAAGTCTCGCAAGGTGGAACCGGGAGATCTTCACTCCGAAACGCTTTTCTGTGAGATTGACTGTGTCGTCTTCCCGCACTCCCCAAGACCGAAGCGACACCCAGCCGCCCGAGCCGCCGGAAAACCCGACCGAGTTTCGGTGGACAAGCTCCTTGTGACCTTTCTGGGCTTTCACTGGATGAGTTCGTTGATAGGAGCAAGCATTGAAACAGAGCGGCTTGTTCCTGAGGTGGTATGTGTTTCGGACCGGATAAACACCCGAAGACCCGGGGTAGCGCAGAAAAGCCCCCGGTCAACTACACCAAACAGACTCTGTTCTTTCCTCCTTGCGGTGGTTGGTTACTGAGGCACATATATAAATGCTTGGTCCCTTACCTCAGAGAAACCCCAAGAACCCAAAAGGGCAAACTCAAACACCAAGAAGTCCGAAGACCAGCTCCATCCAGGCTTCTTGTGATAGGCTTCCGCCAGTTGCTGTTCCCTCCGCTTGAACTCGTCCAGATTCTTGCGCTGCCTCTCTGCTCCAACCAGAAAGGTGGGAGACCGCAGCATGCCATCCGCCATGGCACGACCCGGTGAGCTTTGACGGGGTCTGAGCCAAAAGCGATCGAGCAGGATCAGCTGGATCAGCTGGCCATAGCTGGCCACCTCATCTGAGCTCACCTAGCCATGGATGTTTTGTAACATGTTTCACGAATCCTCGGAGTCAAGGGGCATTGCTGAACCGCTGGGCCAGCATGTGAACACCGGGGAAACTTGTTGAAGCCCGGCCCGATCAACTGGTGCTGAATGGCAACACTCAACGCAAAATGCATGGCATCCATTCGCCAAGCAAGGCTTCGTGCACTGAAGCACCGTGCTGCCCAAGAGGCCGTAGAGATGTGTAGCTCTGTTTGTCCAGCCATGGCAGGGAGAAAGAGGCGCCACCGGCAGCTTGCATGGCGCAGTTGCGGAAACGGAGCTGCCGATGTTGTTGAAAACGTTCAGCAGAACATGGTCGTCCATGGGGCCAGATTATAGAGAGAGAGACATATATACAGTATAAATATATATATATACACAGTATATTTCAATGTTTGCCATTTCTAGATAAGCCCCCGGCACAAGGACTCGTCTTCTTCAGAGAAGAAATATCGGCCTAGCCCCATTAGATGATGTTCAAGAGTTTTCCTCTAACAAACCTGTGGCATTCCAAGAAAAATGTGTGCATTGGGCTCTTGCCGGAAACAATGTGCTTCCATGTATGCTGTATGCTGTGTATATATATATGTGTGTGTGTGTGCGGTATACATTATGATATCATTCATTTCTCATTCAGCCGTTGAAATTGGCAAGGTTTGCCACTGACTGAACTTGCACTGAAAAGCACATCGAGATCTTTCCTCAAGTCTGCTTCATCCAGAGACCGCTGCAGCATGACAAGGCGCCCAAGTACCCATTCGTCAAGCCATGTGACTTGGCTGCTAGCCTCACGATGAAAACCCACATGGCCTGCCAGCACTTTCCTCCTTCATCCACTTTCGCTGGTCTTTAATCGTCTCACTCCCCCAGACCCTCCACCTGGGCAAATGATGACAAATGCCTATAGTAGTAACAAGAAGCTACTAGTAACAAGTGCCACGCTACTAGTAACAGGTGCCTTACTAGTAGTAACAAGAAGCTAGAACCTTACGAAAAAACATCGCAAAATCACTCCTTTGAAGGTCGATGATGTGCCAGCATCGGGTCTGTCACAACAGCTCCCGGAGAAAAAAGCAGTGAAGAAAAACAAAAAACATGGCCCGCAAAGCCCATTCAAATAAATCACTGGACCTCCAAACTGGTCCTCCGAGTTCGGGACGTCATTTTTCCGGCTTCAAACGCTTCCAAAACGCGGAAGATTCTTCTCCAAAGGTGAGAGGAAGGTGTCCAAGCCCCGAAATCAACCAGGCACAGATGCTGCAGCGGTTCTTCGACGAAACCAAACGATATCCCATATGGGTGGTCTGAGGCACGCGCCCGCGTGCCTTGCGCACCGCACCTGGTCCGGACAGGTGTCGCGCAAAGACAGGACCTAGTGGCACAGGTGGAGCAACTCCGAGGCTCCAATGGAGGAACTTTCCTTGCAAAAAACAATGCAAAAAATAGCTTTAAATAGCTTAAATATGAAGATCTGGGAAGGAAACACAGGTTTGGAGAGATGTGAGAAGTTAATAGAATCTAGCCTTGGAAGCCTTACCCTGGCTGGCACATGCGTTCGCACCATGAAATCAGTGGCTGTCCAAGAATCCCCAACATCTGCGATTCCTTTACACCTCCGCGGCGTCCGGTGAGACGTGGCTTCCGGGCGTCCGCGCGCGGTGCCATGGCTTTTACGACGGTCGGTGCGGACGCGGTGTCGGTCGCCGAGCCACAGCTGCGAGGGTCCGGTGTCAGGCCAAAACAAAAGACCCAAACGGGAGAGAACCTAACGGCAATGGCCTCCAACCTAAGAGCGATGGCCTCCAACCCAAGAGCGATTTTTGCACCCAAGAACAGGACATGGGATGGCATGGGAAAGTTCGGAAGTCCCAAGAATCCTTCAATTCAAGCCCGTCTAGTCCAAGGTACGAATTCGCCCACTAAGAATGGGATAGGAAAACGCCACTATAGATACTATCGTCCACTATATAATTACGGCCGACTCAGGCTCAAAGGTTGGAAACCAGAGTCGTGGGCATCTACCGACCTGACTCGACTCGCCCTTATTATCCCTGTTCTTTCCTGTTCAGAACATGTGGGAACAGGGAGGCCCCCAACATCCCCCCCACCGATACGGTTTAGTTGACGAAGTCTTTTCAAGTCTGCGACACACATGGACACCCGAAAAGATCCAGAAACAAAACGGATCACTCTGAGTTAGAACGCTTGGGGAGTGCCATCTGCCCAAGAGAAAAAGAAAAGTTGAATATGACAAGCCGATGGCAACTTTCGCAAGGCAAAAGTTCCTCCAAGGAGTGATTGATCATAGATGATGCGATTCGACTCCAGCGAACCAGCTGGACAACTCCGGACAAGTGTTCCAGATCTGCTCAACCTCTGCCAACGAGTCATCCCGTCGGACAGATTGTGACAAAGAGTCTCCGTTTGGCGGTTTGCATCTTCGTCCGCCTCCATTGTCGAAGAACAACACAGCGGACACCACCCGGAGAAAGGGCCGGTGCGCACCAGGCAGGAGGAAGCGGAAGACAACTTGGCAACGGCACTCCAGGCATGCACAGCACCGGGCACAGGCTTGCTTTTTTCTGCCGGAGTGCTAATCCGCTTTGCATTGGCCGCCTGGCGCGTCAAACACATAAGTTCCCAAAGCTTGGGAATGGCTCAGTCTCCAGCTCATGTTTTTCAGCAAGTCTCGAATTGGTTCCTGGAGCCTTGTGCAGGACATGATGTGGATGGTAGTTTTGATCAAGGTGTTTCTGTCAGGAAATGCCCAAGACACACCGCACCACAAAGTCAATTGTCAAGTGCCCAGGGACTATCCAGAAACCTACTCATGGGTTGAACACATTACATTGCAAAAAATGCTCGGGCACAAGCTGTTGAAGGCCCGCCCAAGGACGTGCGCAGCACATCAAAGTCCAGTACCTTGAAGGCATCTCAGTTGCCCAAGCAAGCATGGCGTTGAAGGCCTTGGTATCCAAAACGAGAAGTTCAGCGGACGCTCGGCCGACGCAATAAGCGGATCTCACGTTTCGGTCGGCCAAGCGACATAGCGCAGCTGCGCTCGATAAGCAGAGGCCAGCGTGTACTCCAAAAGGCAAGCCGCACCCCTGTGCAGTGAAACCATGAAGCAACCGATTTGAGCATGCTTGAGGGGTTCCATGTTGTTCTCCCCAGCGGACTTGTGGAGTCAACAACTCCTAGTAAAGCGGTCAGCCAGTCAACAAAGAAGGGCTGTTTCCTGGCCGGGGGTGAGCCATCAGCTGTGACCAGTTGGGTGCTCCATGTTCGCGTGCCCTTCGGGTGAAAGAGGAACCCAACTCAAGGCTGTGATGCTCGCATCCCGTTGGCCTGTCCAAGCGAAGCATCCAGACCTGGCCGGGGAACCGTGTCGTTGGATGGTCCGGGCATGACCGGAGCCTGCGGGCGTTGTTCTGGAGACGGGGCTGGAAAGGTATATCAGAAACACGTTATTACTCCACACGACCGAAAAAATGTTGCCATAGATCGAGGATCTGCTTTGGTTTCTTCATGTTGTGAAGAAAGTGTTGCTAAAAGTCTCATGTGGCGAGCCGTCAATGAATTCCTTCATCCTTCTGAGTCCTAGATGCCAAGCATTTACGAAGCTGCCCCCGGTGGTGGACGTATTGGATCAGGCTTTGTGTAACCTCAACAATCCCCAACACTTGCTCTCTATGGGCTCCACTATCGCATCTCCCCCTGCCATGCCTCGCCTCCTCTGCCGTTGGCCGCTTTCGATCAGCCTCCGACCCCAAAGAGACTCACTCAGTGTCACTAACATCAAGCTTTCGCTGCTGAGCCCTGGAAGTCCAGGTTCCTACAGGGCAACGTTCCCATTCCCTGTCCAGCATCGATGTGGCTCTTGGACAGGTCAAGGAGAGGCGCGCCCCAAAAAATACCCGTGGCGAAAAATGCAATTTGGCAAAGCTAGGCTAAGCTCCCTCATGTCCCCGCGTCGCTTCTTTCCTGAGCCGAAGCCAGGGGTGTTTGACCTCCACGCCCTCCGCTGCCTCATTCTTTAGAAGGCCACAGCGCTGGACAAAGTCAGCCTGGGAGAAAGGTGTGAAATTGGCACTTCGCTGAGGCTCTGACTCTCAACAAATGAAATCACGATGACTATTGATGGATCATAGTTCGGAGGATCCCAATACTGTCACACTGTCAAGGAGAAATGTGATAGAAAAAACCAGACGGATACCCCAGAGCTGCCCTAAAGTCGCTAGCTACGAACGTGCCGTCTCAAGCATTTGAGCCACCCCCCGAGCCAAAGATTCAATTCCCACCCCTTTTCTCGCAGGACTCAGGACACTCAGGAAGGCCACCAGAGTGCCCTCCATCTGGCCGCTTCAAGCGGACATCCTTCTGGGTGTCGATGTTGCACATCGAAGCTGCTGGAAGACGCCGCGCCTTGCGTCTCGTCGCGTTCGGTCTCGTGTCCGGGGAAGCGGCCAGAGCTGATTTTGGTGTGATGCGATGGAGCTGGTCGATTGGTCGATGTGATGCGGATTACGAAAGAAATCAACCAGGTGGAGCTCAAACAGGGCCCAATGAGTGCAACTTGTTGGCCACTTCCTCTGCCATCTCCATGGTTCCAGCTGCACCTCGTGCCACGAAAGGAAACAGTGATAATCAGGCCAATCAGAATTCAAAAACTCAACACCATGATCGTTACAGAGTCTTCCAGCTGGTTGGTGCTTTCAGCTCACTTGAACACATCAATAGCCATAACCACCACCCAAATAGAGATAATATGGATATACAGCAAAACAAACTTGACACCTTATCTCCTCTCCGAACATCCCTAGTCACCCACCTCCCAAGTCACAGGTGACGCTTCGGCGCTCGCGCAGCGTCTGGGCCAGCGCTCGCTCCAGGGCGTCGGCGGCGGACGCTTCTCGGAGGTGGCGCAGCATCAACGAGGCGGAGAGGAGGATCGAGGTGGGATTCACCAAACCTTGGCCTCACAAGGAGGAGGAGGAGGAGGAGGAGCAGGAGGAGGAGGAGGGAGGCCATCGCGATGGAAGGTTGGAGGCCATTGCTATTAGTTGATGCGATGGGGAGGAGTTGGATGGGGTGGAGGGATGTAGGGGGGATGGAGGTGAAGGGATGGAGCTTAGTGATTGGGTGGAAGGATGTACAGTAGAAGGGATGGACGGGAGCAAGAGAAAGGTTTGGGGCCTGGGGCATTTGTGAAGTGTGGGTGGGAATGTAGAGAGAAAGTTGGGGTTCAGTGCTAACAGCTGGGCGCTTGATGCCAACCCTCCATTTTACCAAATCCTCGCCTGCAATGTCCGGTGCGCTGCCATGCGCCGGCTCGAAGATGGCCACGGCGCCTCCGCCGCAGAGAGCGCTGGGCGCCAGGCCCAGACCACCGACGAGGCCGGCGGCGAGGTCGGAGACCAAGTCGCCAAAGAGGTTTTCGCATAAGATCACCTGGGACGGGAACCGGCCAACAGGTGCCACCGGAATTTTTCAGCGAGCTGAAGAAAGGCCCCGGAATCATGAAGAAGGGATTAAGAAGAGCGTGGGGTTGGCGTGAGGGGCGGGAGAATAATGAAAAGGTCCGGCTGTTGCAAAAAAAGATGAGTTCGCTGACGTTCTAAAAATCGCAACTGGCCAAATGCGAGGTGCGGACACTGCGGAGACTTGGACTTCAAGCACATTCAACTCCCAAACCGTTGTTCTGGAAAGGTTATGAAAGGTTGGCCGAACTATATATATACCGTGCCGTACCTGTTCGGGCTGTGGTGAGAAAAGAGGAAAAGGATGGAAAAGGTATGAAAAGGTTATCCACTGGCTGGGTAGGACATATTAAAAAAAACGATCTTCACTCAAGGAGGGTCACATCCCATTCTGCTGGCCGCATCACCATGCCCGTCAGCAGCGAATCACAAAGCTGCTCCGTGTAGTGGATCTCAGGGTAGTTGCAGGCCACCTCACGACAGACCTTCAAGAAGAGGGTGTCCTCGGGTCAGGTGTTTTTTGCGAAGCTCCTATCGGGTCCCACATGTCCTCCGTTCCTTCAGCTGCCGATTGACCCCGCATGGCGAGCCAGTGTCCCAGTGTCCCAGTCGCAGGGCTCCGAATGGTGTCCCGCAACAAGCACATCGTCCATGCGGATAGCTTTGCAACCTGGATGGGGGCTCCCATGGATGTATACAAACACACGCCCGAAGGAAAAAAAACGACGTTCCCCAACCTTGAGTGCAACCTCTCTCTCCCACAAAGCAACGTCACTAGCATCAACTGTTAAACGTAGACTAAGCGAGTTGTTAACACCTTGGTAATGGCATTGGAAGTGTATCTCAAATTTTGAAGCAAAAAAAAGTGAACATCAAGCAGTAAAAGGGAAATTGCAACATGGTCATAGTCTTAGTTATGGTGAACAGGATGCCGCTGGCTTACATCTCCACTCAGGAAGAATGCCTTGTAGAGCCACTCTGCTTGGCCTATCCCGATCTATGCCAAACCCCTTTACATCCCTTTCCTTTAAAGAAAACAACTGCAAAAACACAAACATATGCAACCGCTTGGCCGTTTTTAGCGGTCCAAACCGAAAGCCCCCAGCGGTCGGTGCCGAGCATCTGAGAGTCTCAAAACGTTCGACTTGTGAGCCACCGTCACCTGCCCCATGCTCAACCGGCGTGGCTGTGGCCAAGAGCATCCAGCCCCTCTTGAAAAAATACTGAATCATAGTCAGTTCAACCCCAAACAGCAGTGTAGACCTTTATTGCCCCCGGGCAGACAGGACCACAAAAACTGGAGCTATGACAGCTATCCAAATGATTCTTCTCCAACCTTCCACCCCCAGCCGCCTTCTTCCTCCCATGTCGCACCGCATAATCGAAGGCGAACTCGGCCACTCGACGTGTTCCCTGCCGTGTGATCCGCCGCGTCGCCACCACGGCATCGTCGGTTTCCCAAGACTCCTCGCCTGTGTACATGCCTTCGGTGTTCTCACCTGAATCTGGCGGCAATGAAAGCAAATTGGTGCATTAAAAAAGGGAAACCTCCCAGTTCAACCCCCTGGAAGAGCCCTCTGGAAGAAGGAAAAGACATCCAAAACCCGATTTAAAACGCACACCCAAGTGCATCGTCTCCACCTGCCCCGTTTCGAAAAAACATCAAGCCCAGGACATCTCCCAAACACATGGTTTTGCAAAGGGTCAGGCAGCGGGGGAGAATTTTTTTTGCCAAACACGTTCACAGACAGAGCCTGGGTCACATCACCTTGACAAGAACACATATAACTTGCTGGTCCAGTACGTTCCTCTGGCACTCAGGACCATGTCTGGATATCACACACAGCCCCATCTGAGTTCCTAAATGCAAACTAACTATGTATCTGGGTGAATTATAAATCAATTTCATTAATTTCGTTCACCTCGTACCTCGTCTTAATTCAATGTTTTGAAGTTATTCACCTCGCCTCGTTTAATTTCAACAATTTCAGTCACCAGGCTCTTGGAGAGCGGGGTATCTATTGGGTCCATTTCTCAAAAATAGGCTGCTTTTTGGCTGTGATGATTCTGAGTGAACTACAGGTCGTCCGTTAAAATCATTTTTTTAGGAACCTGATTTTGTGACGTCGGGTGAAGTTACCAAATTACGTTGACGTCGTCCGTCCGTCCGTCTCTCTCTCTCTCTCTCTCTGTGTCTTGACCGCCACCCAGCACACGCACCCCCTTTGGAGGGACGTGGCTGACCGGGGGTTGCTTGTGCTTGGCATGGATGTGAGCAAGTGGGTGGCTCCAAACCCTACTTTGAGAAAAAGCCTTGATGGGGCTTGTCTATTGGAGCTGCTCAGCGCAATGTCCTTCCGTACTGGGGCTGGCTAGGGCCCGAGACAACGTCCAGAAGGCTCCAAACCAATCCACAATCGTGAAACCCTATTTAGCAAAAATATTGTTTTTTGATGGGGCTTGCCTATTGGAGCTGCTCAGCACAGTTTCCTTACTTGCTGGGGCTGGCGGAGGGAAGACGACGATCCCAATGTAGACCCCACCGGTAGCGTTGAAGAAGGTGAGGTGGCCAGGTATCACGTAGCCGAGTTCTGATCAGCTGGATGCCATGTTGTAGTGGTTGAAAGACTGGCCCGAGACAACGTCCAGAAGGCTCCAAGCCAATCAACAGCTGTAAAGCCCTATTTAGCAAGAATATGGTTTTTGGATGCGGCTTGCCTATTTGGGCTGTACTAGCACAGTTTCCTTACTTACTGGGGCTCGTTCGGGCCCGAGACATCGTCCAGAAGGCCACAAACCAATCCACAGTCGCGAAACCCTATTTTGCCAAAATAAGCTTTGATGAGGCTTGCCTATTTGAGCTGCTCAGCACAGTTTCCTTACTTGCTGGGGCTGGCTAGGGCCTGAGACAACGTCCAGAAGGCTCCAAGCCAATCAACAGTTGTAAAGCGCTATTTGGCCAGAATAGGGTTTTTGGATGCGGCTTGCCTATTTGGGCTGCTTAATACAGTTTTCTTCCTTACTGGGGCTCGCGCGGGCCCGAGACATCGTCCAGAAGGCCACAAATCAATCTACAGTCGCGAAACCCTATTTTGCCAAAATAAGTTCTTTGATGGGGCTTGCCCACATTTCCTTACTTACTAGGCCCTGGCGGGCCCCGAGACAACGCAGGCCGCGAACTTTGTTTTCGGGGTTGGACTTTGTGGCCTGCTGCCGGCAAAACCCGCGCACGAGCGGCCCAGCGGTCAAAACCGCGCCCTCCGACACGGAACGGCCGGGCTCGAATCCCAGCCTCTGGAAGCGAGCCGCCTTTTCCCGCGCAATGTTTGTGCGCGCGTGCTTTGCACGCGGAACAGGAACACGAAGGCAGCGCCTGTTTCAGGGTGCCCGGAATGTTCAAGTGAGAAGGAAGTGCGACTCTGACATTGGATATATGAATGAAATGTATCATCTGCATGGCTCAAATGAGGCCCACCAGAGCAGGTGATTGATGAAACATTTCAATGGGGCATATAGTAATGTAAGATCTTAATTTCAAAACCTAGGTTGTTAGTTCAGGGTGACGTCGGTGATGTCGCTATAATTTGCCCAGATGATTGGAATCTCTGTGGCTTGTGGAAACTACGCCCAGCAGTGGGCTATCCAAGCCCAAACCCTCTTGCTGGTGCTGTTGTCGCTGGCGCTGGACTTACCTCGCATTTTCGTTTTGAACTTATTCTACCTCGTACCTTATCAAATGAGCTCGGTTTAATTCGCCCAGATAGATATATATATATATATTACTGTATGCATTTTTTAACGCAAGGTCCATCAAGGTCCAGTCCTCCACACTGAAAAAAGACGCACCAGCAGCACGTTCGCAGGACTTCGGACGTTGGCGCTCCTCCAAGGTACGGATCACCACCAGGTCTGTGCCCGGAAACTTGGCTGGGGAGCCTTCCAAGTACTTGGCCGGTCGCACGTTCGCATAGAGCTGAAAGATTTTCCGCAGCGCTTGATTGGCAGAAGTGAAGCGCCGCCCACGGATCTCCAACCTTGGAAACGGCTCGCCGGGGGTGAAAATGTATCACCTTCCAGCTGGCGGTTCAAGGTGGCTGGGACATCCACAATTGGTGAGTTCGGGGCCCTTCAGGGGAACGAATCAAAGACTCAATGAATGTGGCAGTGGGCATGGAAACCATGCCTGTCAATCGCTCTGCGCAACGCCGGTCCGGTGCGCTGCAACGTCGGGCTCGTGACCACTGACCCGCCACGCACACACAGAAGCGCAGTCCGGTCAATACGAATACGCTGATCACACACCGACGTGCCTACATAAGTCGCAGGGGTTGCTCTAAGCTTTGCCCCGAGTGGCCTCCAAGGCAACAAAGCAACATGTCCAAGAAGGCAGCACTCAAACGCTCAACATGCTTAAATAGGCACGAGGAATGCGCCAATACACCTTTACATTGTAACGTTAGGGTGGTAAGTTGCGATGTATGATGATGTATGAAGTGTTCCCCCGTGGATCCATGTTCTGCAATCTCCAATTTGGGTGTATCGGAGTAACGGTGCTAACTACATCTAATTACACTCTGATGGATCAGTGTATTGAAGTTTCCGCCAGTTCGTTGTTTCGGTCGCTGATTGCCACACTGGAATGTAGGCTCGGCCTCCAGAGATCTGTGGGGCTGCTTCGGCCTGGATCTACACCACCTACGCCATGATGTGGAGACATCTTCCAACATCCGTGGACTAAGACTGGTCTTCCTCGCACTCAGAACCTGACCACCTGTCCGTCCTAGGGTTCCGAGTCTCAACCGGGTCTGGGAACAGTTGGGACTTGGCATCGATCTCAATCGGCCCCTTGAGCACTGTCTTCACCCGCTCAATCGTCAACAAATGCTCCTCACCCACCGGATGACCGTGGAGCCGCTCGTAGGTCTTCCCATAATCCTCGGATGAGACAACACCACCCGTCGAGCAGCAGCTGGTCGTTTCAACAATGGGTGAGACGTGGTCCTCCAAACAACCCCCCCACACCGAAAACCCCAAAAGGCAATATTTTTCATCACTTTGACCCGTTATATATTAGATTGAACATATTGCATATTATTGAATATTGGGAAGAAGTGGGCATGATGTTAGTTTAACACAAATGATGACAAATGGGAGAGAAAACCAAAACACGTTGGCAGGCATCCATGCATTCGATCTGCAGCGGAACCCGGGTTGCCTTCAGCACAAGCCTGGCAGCTGCTAGCAGTTCCTCTCCCACCCCATCGCCTGCCATCATCAAAATCCGGTGGGCCATGGCGTTGTCCGCGTCCAACGTGCAATGGCGAGTCAAAGGGCTGAAATCAAAAGAATCCAAGTTCAAGTGCAGCTATATAGTGATCTTTAACCTGAACCGGATCTCTTCTACGGAAGGAGGGCTAAGTGCTGAAACTAACTACAGCACAGTTCTTCGACGTTCTTCGATGCACTGTTCATCCGTTCTCCTTCGTGCCAGCGGCGGGTTTTTAGATGCAGGAAATCCAATGAACAAGCAGGTGAGGCTACACTCCCTGAAAAAACTGGAAGTGGGGTGAAAACCACCTGTTTGTGGAGAGGGACGGCCAGGCCGTCCAAGGATCCATGTTCCACTTCGATGATTTCAGGAAGGGCAATTCGTCTTTGTTAATCAGATCTAGAACTTGGCCGCGTTTCGGCGCCAAGTTAAGTGACTTGCTGAAAGTTGCGCCGTCGATGCAAAGCTCCCCAAAAGCAAACGCCCAATGAGGAGGCCTAATTGGATACCTCAAGGCCACTGTACCTACAAGCTTCTGGCATCTCTTAATTATCTTAATTAATTGTTCTTCGTATTCATTTCATCGTACACTTCGCCGATTCGCTCTACATTTGCCCCAGATTTGCCGCCAAGCCACTCGCCATGCCAACCTGACCTTCAAGCGCAACAAGTCCTCCGCACGCGCCGCCACCCGCGATCGCCCACCCGCTGCGGGCGACTGCGCGCCACGTCGGCGACTAACCGAGCTTGGCGTGCCGTGCAGGTGCTCCACCTCGCGCCGGACGAGGTCTTCGGAGGCGGGTGGGTTCGGGTGGGTTGCAACAAATGGAATGGATGATGGGCACCAGCACCTCCCAACACACATGGACGTGAACAATTCCCACCAGAGCCAGTCCACACTTAAGGATTCCTTCTCCAAATGTTCGCGTTCACCCAGTTCTCAGGTGACGTCATGGAGCCAGGCGCAGGGAGATGCTCCAGCCACCCGGACCCTTCGTCCAATTTCCAGCCATCTCAGGCCTCTGGCTGAACCTGCTCGTGGCACCACTGTGACAGCCTCTCCGCGACGCAAAGTTTCAGGGACAAACCATCGGTTCCGAACATGAGTGGTCAGCTTGATCACAGAAACACCAGAAAAAAGGGAGCCCCCAAAGGGATGCCGCACTGCAAGGCTGCACTCTTACTCAAAAAAATGCTTGGAGGGAGGACGACGAGCTGGCTGTAAAGACTTTCTATCGCACCATGTGACACGAACCCGAGTTGTTAGGATTGGAAAGGTCTCCAGGCCAGCCCGGCCAAGGATTTGGGTCACCAGCCTTCCGGGGAGTTCGCGCGTGTCCGGCCTGATCTGATTCCAGCCTTGCCACCTTGCCCAAGCCAAAGCCAACCGCGTGCGCACCACATGGTCTAGGCTCCGTGCAAGGTTCCTGCCAACAAACCCAAGATGACCCGAGCCGCGCGCCAAGACTGTTTTGAAAAGAAAATGTTTCCATTGGAAGGGCATGACCAGGCTGTTGCATGCTAGACATGTTGGAATGATTGACTTGGTGGCCCTAATGCCTATGACTAGTGAGAATGGATTCCCATCGCGCCCAGGTTCCAGCCTGAGGCCAGGATCCTTGCGCTGCCGAAGTGCACTCAAGGCCTCCGAGCGTCCGGCTGAAAAAAGGTCGCATCCAGCATCCCACAAACGGAAGGAACGCAACAACAAGCTCAGCGCTGCGCCGCTGCACTCCAATTGGTGGGTCGTTGATTTGGCTCCTCTTGGCCAGAACATGCCGGAACCTAGCCTTCCTGTCACTGCGGCATGAATGAGTCTAGTCAGTCGTCAACTGGAAAGCTCTGAAGTTGAACCCTCCACCTGAAGCATCCTGCGGACCTCGTTGCTGCATGTTGCCGCATGTTCAAGAAATCGACCACGTCTTGACCGAGTTGGAACCCCCGTTTTTCTGGATGGCACGAGTAGTTCCATGATGTTTCATGGTTTGGGGATGTTTGGGGCTATGTCTTCCTTTCAATCCTCACGCCTTCCAGTGTTGCAGGGCGCCCCCAACCCGGAGGCTCCCAAGTCGCTTCAGCAGCGCAAAGCCACCCAGCAAAGCGCAGGTCCTGGCAAGAATCAAATTGACCCGTGATACCCGTGCAAGTTGATAAGTTTCGTGCGAAACCTCATGTTGGTAGGAGGGCCTTTGTGCGTCTAGCAGTCTTCCCAACATCCGTTTCAACCTCCATGACCACGATTCACGTCCGGCCCCATTTTGTCCATCGTGTGTGCATCAAGTCCGGATGTATATAACGGTCGAGTTTCTTACGTCGCATTGAGGACCACAAACGAGTTCAGCACAGTTCAGTACAGGATTACATAGGATTACTATTCCATGTGTGCGCGTGAGCCCATAATGACTTTTGGCAGCTCTAGGCTTGGACCCAAGCGCCACGTTGTTCCATCGGGCGGCCACATTGTTCAAGACTATCAACACATATCAACACATATGATGCGTCTGAAATGAAAGCCCGCCCTGTGTTGAGGCAAGGGTAGCTGAAAACACTTATCATCCGATCGATCAAAGCTTATCATCCTGTTGGCTTCCAGGCCTCGCTCGAACTGCGGCGGTCTCCGCCCAAACCATAAGGTTTTTGGAGACGTCCTCGTCCTGGCGCCGGGCTTCCTTGCCGCCACACCATGGAGAAGCAAAACACATACTGTTCTCAAAAACAAGAACGTGCAAGAAAGTGATATCATCAGATCGGTGTTCTTGTGCCCACTTCATTGTCAAACTGCAGGCCCTGCAACTCACGGCATCCCACGGCGTCCTCCGCTCTCAGCACCTGCAACTCATTGGCGAAGATCTCTTGGCTCCGTTCCCAGGATGCTAGCATGACCTCCAACGACGGCAACACCCAACCAGCACGGCTTGCCGTTCCAAGGTGCACGGCGGGGCACGGCGAATCTGCATGGCAAATCAGTGACCCTATCATGTTCACAAAAAGCAGCTGTGGACATAATAGGCTATGTTTCTTGAATTTTTTTGGTCCCTATGTGACATAGGAACACACAGGAACCCAAAAACACCAGAGACATCTGCGAGGAACGCATCGCAACACATCCTCTCACGACTTCCGACTCCTTTCCAGGCATCCCACAAACAACTCGACCAACAAGCCGAACCCACCGTCTTCACACGCCAGCACTCAAGCACTCGGGTGGATTGAATGGCAATCTTGGCGCGTAGGACCTGGCAAGCCGCTCGCGGCGAGCCGCTGATTGAATGGTAATTTTCCCCGCTCTCTCTCTCTCTCTCCCTCCCTCCCTCTGTCTGTCTGTCTGTCTATCTCTATCTCTATATCTCTATATCTCTATATCTCTATATCTCTATATCTCTATATCTCTATCTCTTTATCTCTCTATCTCTCTATCTCTCTATCTCTATCTCTATCTCTCTCTATCTCTATCTCTATCTCTATCTCTATCTCTCTCTATCTCTATCTCTGTCTCTATCATCTCTCTCTATCTCTATCTTTGTCTCTATCTCTATCTCTATCTATCTCCCTCTATATCTCTCTCTCTCTCTATCTCTATCTCTATCTCTATCTCTATCTCTCTCTCTCTATCGCTCTATCTCTCTATCTCCCTATCTCTGTATCTCTCTATCGATCGATCGATCGATCTATCTATCCATGTATCTATCTCTTTCCTCCTCTCTCTCTGCAGGTGCTGGCTGCCACGCAGCCGTCCCACGCAAAGACTCATGAAGATCTTGCCCCTCACGCGGAAACGACTGATGAACCATGTGCCTCCACGATGCGCGTGAGTGCCAACGCTTGCGCTGGCACCTGGCCAAAGGTTTTGAAAAAAGTAAGGTGACATGATATGACACATCGAAACCGTTTGGAGCAAGTCTTGCAGCGGCATCACACATCCATCAACCTTGTTTCACCCTCGCAACGGTCAAGGAAAATGACCTCTGGCCTCTTCGTTTTTGGCTGTACGTTTTAGCGTGCGCACGGCAGAGGTGGCAGAAATACACTCCTGCCGCTTCCCGCGCTCCAATTCACCCTTTCCGCCTTTGCAACATGTTCAGGCCCATTCGGCAATTTGGTTACAGCAATGGAACCCTTTTCTCGACAGGCAACGTTGCGATGAAATTGTGCGATGAACACTCGAACAGGCAAACGATGACAAACGGTTGATGACTTGTGGCCACTGTGCGGGGTCAAAACGCCAGCCAGCCGAATCTTATAATTAGCATGAACCATTTGCCCGGTTTCGCCCACAGGACCACCACAACAAAATGACGGCGTGCATCCTGCATCCTGCGTAATTGGTTGCCGTGCCGTCTCAAACATGGTTGGCAATAATGCATGAGGAGGATCCAAGCTTGCGGACCATGGGTTTTTTGTGTATGTGTGCATGTTCTCATCTTGTGTACGGGTACGTGTGCATGTTCACATGGGTGTACTTTTTTGCATGTTTTCGTGTTGTGTGCTCCCATCATACTTCCCAGTGTGTGTGTGTGTGTGTGCGTGTGTGTGAGAGCTTTGATGTCACATTTGCGAACTCATGGGTCATATTGCGCTGCGACAACACAAGTAGCACAAACATGAAACACTCTTTTTCGCACCCATGACACTTCACAGAACCTGTCACGCAAAATATGTCCTGTCGCACCACCCAACACCGCCAAGCTGAAAGCCCGCAACTGTAGTGTTTCAGCACTGGTTTTCGAAGCACCTGGCATGTGGGCCCGTGCGTGAAAGCGGTACAGAAAAACAAGTTGCATGTTGACGGAGTTGCTCGCGTTGCCCAAGCTAGGTGGTGTCGACAAACCCCTCAGCCCGTGGCCATCTCCAGTAGCCGTGCAGCAGCTTTGATATGTTCGAGATCGGCCAACGCTGGGCCTGCGCGGCCGCAGCCGAACCCAAGCGGCAAACGCGCACGAAAACGCGCAGGTTCGCAAGGTGTCCTTTCCAACAACGGTTGCAGCTGTGGCGGAATGTGAAGAAGGAGGGCCCAAACGTGCCGG